AGTTCAAAGGCAGAATGTATACTTTGCTGCCTACAATATCCTGTGTTCATTAAATAGAGGTACCTTTTGAGGAACTGTGTACACAAAATGCTCCCCTTAGATTTCAGGCATCCCGGAACTCACCCTTTCCATTCACCTCAGCCTGCAGGGGAAATTTTTTTGTGGCGCCCTCTAGTGGTATATTATGAGCAGGGTCATGTAAGGCCATAGTGTGCACAAAAAAAAGGTGCAAGTTTATATTCAGCATTTAACGTTACAATGCATACTTTTTCTCAATGCAGGTCTTCATTTGATACAGTGTGCATTCTGGAACTTATTTAAACAATGGATTGACAAAACATGTATGTTTACAACAGCTTTCAAATCACCATGACAAAACAGACCAGTCCTTCCTCTTCAGAACAATTGTGTGGTACGTGAAACCACAAAGGACTCCTGTAATAGAGGAACACTTTAGTTCCTCACATTGACATTGAGATAAACTTGTGCATGACAATATATTCTAGCTATTTCTATATTAAAGGGACAGTTCACCTAAAAATAAAAGTTATGTCATCATCTACTCACCCTCATTCGTTCCAAACCTGTATGACTCCTTTTCTGCAGCTGAATGAAAAAATAATATTTTTAGTCTAATTTCCCTGGTCTCCATTCACTATCATTGTACAGAAAAAAGCAGCTTGGACATTGTGCTAAATATCTACTTTTGTGATTCACGCAAGGTTTAGAACGACATACTGTAAGGTTAAGTAAATTACTTTTCAATGTTATGTCATCTGTCACTTTAAAGAGCACATAGGCGATATCATCAAGGGATTTTGCAATCAAGTTAAATTTGCATGAGTCATAACATAATCCCAAAATAATGAAGTTCACATAAGCTCTTGTCCCCAGTGACATGGAAAAGGGTATAAGCTAATTTATTCATATCAAGCATATGGCTCCCTGTTTCTGTTACTTCTCATTCACACTTGTTCTTATTTTATAGACATGCCTACATTTAGAGTCAGAATATATTAGATTAGGTTCCTCAGGATAAGGTGGTCTCCAGCCTTTAGTGCTGTGAGATCGAGTGGCATTTATCTAGTGTCCTTCACACTGCATTAATTGCTGTGTCTGCATTCGTCCTTAGAGAACAGCGCTCTCTATTGCGCTTCCTGTCATGCACCATCCCCCTCGCACCCCCACCAAACTCACACGTGCAAACACGTGCACAGCTCCTAGCTACCACATGGGAAAAAAGCATGGGGAAACCAGGTGGGATAAGCAGGTCTACCTTATGGTGAGGGCACACACACACACTTTTGCATGCAGATTGCCATGCTATTTTTGGAGACAGTCAACCTGTGACTTCAACATATTAACATGACAGAATACTTTACATACAGCAAGATATATTTCAAATATGCTGAGAAAGATACAGCAAGATATATTTCAAATATGCTGAGAAGGAATTGTAGGCCTATTTCTGTATATCTAATGCGTCAATGTGGAAACAAATACAGAGGGAGACAGAGAAGAGAATGGAACAGAGAGAGTGTCAAATGTCACTGAGATTAATTGGAACTGCCACTGCAGCAATTTAAGGCTTGACCTTGAAAGCACAAGATGATGGGTTGGTCACGTTACCAAGGCAACAAAAAGCTGAAATGGAGATCATTTAATTTTGACCTATTGTTTTGACCAATTTGACCTCAGTAGAGGACAACAGTGACCAACCACTTCTTAAACTGCCAAGGGCTCAGTTACAGGTCGAATACATACAATTTCAAAGCACTACTATTATTACAAGTAGTCAAAATACTAAAGCATGTGTGAACCCTGCATTACCTGAGAGATTTTACTATGACCAGTTACTTCTCCAAAAGCTAAACTGACTTCAGTCAATGAGATTTCAGGTCAGATCAGTATTCCTGCAATTGTATATTTTCCATTTATTTTTTCCACTGGCATTACAAAAATTTCTCAGCAAGATGTTAGAAAATAGTTTTAATTATTTTTATACATTTCTATTTTTTTTTATTTAATTTATCAAGCTAAAGTTTAGGCTTAACATTACGCTAATATGTTAAGCTAAATTCGGCCAACTAACTCATTTTAAGCATTATGAATAACAAGTAAATAATAAATGACTTTACAATATAAAGCTATTACAAGAAGTCATTGATTATTAGTATTATTCAAATATTGTTTGAGAGTGTAGGAACTCCATTATATCATTGTGAATGCATTGTGGGAGTGGAAGGTCACTCAGGCAATTCCTGTTTCACTGACTAGTGGTAAACTGACTTCAGTCAATGAGATTTCAGGTCAGATCAGTATTCCTGCAATTGTATATTTTCCATTTATTTTTTCCACTGGCATTACAAAAATTTCTCAGCAAGATGTTAGAAAATAGTTTTAATTATTTTTATACATTTCTATTTTTTTAAATTTAATTTATCAAGCTAAAGTTTAGGCTTAACATTACGCTAATATGTTAAGCTAAATTCGGCCAACTAACTCATTTTAAGCATTATGAATAACAAGTAAATAATAAATGACTTTACAATATAAAGCTATTACAAGAAGTCATTGATTATTAGTATTATTCAAATATTGTTTGAGAGTGTAGGAACTCCATTATATCATTGTGAATGCATTGTGGGAGTGGAAGGTCACTCAGGCAATTCCTGTTTCACTGACTAGTGGGTAGTGTAGTTCTTCAACTGGAATTCAGGTAATAAATTAGATTTTTATTTTTTTTAATGAAAATGACATCTCAATGACAATGGGATTTTAACTTTTGGACACCTGCCAATGCGCTCTATTAAAGCAAGCATGTTGGGCGCACACACACTAGATCAAAAACCACATGTCTTTAACACTAAACATGACTTTTATGATCGCATTATACTTTACTGTCTGCCTCAAATTAGCTACAAATTGCCGTTTTCACTGCAAATAGTACATATAGTACAATTTAAAGTTCATACAAGTTAAAGGCAAGCAAGGGTTAAAAGCAATTTTAAATTGCTTAAAAACAGAATATTAAAGTGTAGAATATTAAATAAAATAATTAGTAAATAATAGCTATGGCATGTCCTATAATAAAACAGTCAGTGCTATTTAAATAAAGTTTGTGTGTGTGGTCACGTGTCTGTGTGTACCCCTCAAATCTTGTGCATAACTACATATAGTAAAATAATAATATACTTTACGGTTACATTTACAATTATTTGTTCAATGTGAAACATTCTAACAGCATGGAAGCAAGAGTGAGACTTTCACAAGACTTGTTCGCTCTCTTAATATTTACTTTATTATTTGCACTCACAACTGCCAACTATTTCAGTACAGAGGAGTCATTCAAGTCAGGTGAACAGGTACGAAGTCTGAAACACATAAACCTACTCTTTTCTCATAGCACGAGTCCTTCATTCTCTGTATCCAGTTTTTAGCTAAAAATAAATAAATAATAAAAATGTACTATCACAACTCATTTCAACACCCGAGATAATACAATCTTAAATCAGCAGATCTATTTAGCATACCGAACCACATCGTTATATATCGATAGCATTTAACAGTCTCTGTTAAATAACTTGAGTATATGTAACAATGTTTGTATTCCAGCAGTCTTCTATTAAATTTATAAAGCAAAAAGCACTAAAAGCTGTCTACGTTTTCTATGTAAATGACTGTGATTATTTTATGAGCTGTTTGGACTCATTTTGACGGCACCCATTTACTGCAGAGGAGCAAGTGATGTAATGCTAAATGCCAAATCTGTTCCATTGAAGAAACAAACTCATCTATCTTGGATGACCTGAGGGTGAGTACATTTTCAGCAATTTGTCAATTTTGGGTGAACTGCTCCTTTAATTAAGAAGAATATATGCTTCAGCATTATTGTACATTGTAAGCTCATTTTGACTAATGTAGTTAATAAATGAAACCTTCTTGTAAACTGCTACCCATAAAATCTTATAAAATGACTCATATGTGTTGCTATGCATGCAGCAAGCACAAGAACACAGAATTCCTATTCTATGCTGTTCACATCTGACAAGAGTGTGGGCTGCAGAGGTGAAGTGTGACGTCTCAGTTTTGAGACAGACGGATGATTCAATGCCTTGCCTGCTTAATTTAGAGTCAGCATCTAGGATACACTGAAAACAGGTTTAAAAGGGATTAACGGGTCCTGATTTAGCAGTGGAGAGAGTCTGGAAGTGTACACTGCTTAATGACCCTAAAGTTTTTATTAAAGCCCAGCGTAGGATGATGCAGCTGCACTGCAGACTCAAAATACAAAGATGTGAGATTACAAAAATGAAGCTATGAATCCATGTTATTTTAACTTTAATTTAATAAATGCGTACATTGACATTAGTATTAACATTCTATCTATCATTGTGTGTCTGCTCTGTCCATATAAAGGGCAAAGTCTATTTGTTCCGGTTTGTGACAAGGTAATGACCTTTGCCCACTACATGTGTTAATCTGATCTCAGTATCTAATGCAAAAAATGCAACAGCAATTTAGCCTATAGAGTGCAATAGAATGTTAGTTTTATCAAATGACTGTTAGTTTTATGTTGGATTTTAAGGGGGTCATATCATGAGGAATCAAATTATGCCTTAATCCTTTGAAAAAAAAAAAAAAAACTTTATATAACAGAAATACATTGTGAGAAAAGTCCTTAACAATATCCATAACATAACATTTCAGTTTGATCTTAGTTATTTTTGTGGCACATTTTAGCACAGATTATTTTATTGCGATACAAAACATCATGCATCATATTCTAGATTAGATACAGCAACAGCAAACACAGCCTGTGAGTGAGTGAAGCCAAAGAAAGTTTCTTAAAGGCACAATAACAAAATATACACAGTTAATTCTATGGATTTGAATTTTTTTTTTAGTTCTTGAAAAACTATTTTTCCTATAGTTGTTTCAACAGTGTTAAATAAAACATTATACAATCTAGGCAACACCTATAACAATGTAGGCACACCTCCAGTAACTTTTTTTATTCTTATTCTTATGATATGACCCCCTTAAAACTGAGTAATCTATAGAAATATTAACTATGGATCAGACAACACACACTACAATATACAATCAAGAACATGTGAATTACAATTAATATTATATCATAATTTTACATAATAAAATGTGAAATAATTATGAAGTTCTTAAAAACAAATCTCTATTTTACACAGACAGAGCATATTTGTTTGATCTATATAACATGACTGATGTGTGTAAAATGCAGATTCATTGCTTTTTACAGTAACACAGCAAAACTTCACCGCTCCACTCGTCAGAATAAGTGGCACTTCAAGACTGCTGCACTTCCTCTTCTTTCTGCTTGAGTTGTTGGTTGTACCTACACACACAAATACAAGGCGTGTCAAACCTTTTAAATGCATAATTGCCAAAGCACTGCAGGTGCTAAAGGAACACAATAGGTTGCTGGGAATACAGTGGGGAAAAAAAGTATTTAGTCAGCCACCAATTGTGCAAGTTCTCCCACTTAAAAAGATGAGAGAGGCCTGTAATTTTCATCATAGGTATACCTCAACTATGAGAGACAAAATGAGAAAAATAAATCCAGAAAATCACATTGTAGGATTTTTAAAGAATTTATTTGCAAATTATGGTGGAAAATAAGTATTTGGTCAATAACATTTCATCTCAATACTTTGTTATATACCCTTTGTTGGCAATGACAGAGGTCAAACGTTTTCTGTAAGTCTTCACACACTGTTGCTGGTATTTTGGCCCATTCCTCCATGCAGATCTACTCTAGAGCAGTAATGTTTTGGGGCAACGCGGATTATAGTAAATTCAACGAAGAACAAAACGCTCCACTCTGCTGCCTCTTTCTCTTTTAACTGTTATGCTAAACTCTCCATTACCTCCAATTCACCTTGCACTGGACTTACTAGATGTGGATATACTGTATAGGAGCCACTAACCCTTTCCCATAAAACTCATGTAACAATTACAGGGCACCTTCTCAATCTCCACCATCTGAATTTATGCTTGGGGGTCATAATATATATTTCTGTCAGGACCACTATCGTCAAAGATGATTGACATTTAGCATACAGTTTGGATTGGCGGTATGGTTCTGTTCTGGGCAAGAACTCCCTGCGTATCCATGCAGCCTAGCATGGATGAGAGCAGAGAGAGCAGCGATAACCCCCCCCAGGGTAAACAGAACAGAACCAACATAAATGTATTGCAGATATAGTTAAAGTTCAATAATTTTATGTACACATTTTAGAATTAGTCTGATTCAAAGGATAATCAGAAGGCTGAATCATGACTGACAGAGGAGGAGCTGGGGATGGAGGAGGGTAATTAGCTTTTGAGCAATGTGAAAACTGCTGATAATACTGAGGGACCTTATATATGAATGCTTAGATACGTGTCATATTCCTGTAGGTAGATGGGGATCAGCTGAGAGTCAGCTGATGCGAGCTTGACTAACGTGACCTGCCAGAACTAACGCTACACTTGATATGTATCACTCGTTTGTAAAAGCCATAACCAATATATCATATTTTATGTACATAAACAGAATATTTTTCAATACCAACTGATTTCATATACCATCATTTACCATAAATACCTATGCAACACTGACCCTCAAATCCACTGTCCTGCAGAGTTCAGTTCCATCCCTATTCAAACACAACTGAAAAAATAAAACCAAAGTCTTCAGGATCTACATTACAATTATAGTGACGTGACATGTGACATGTGGAATTAGTGCTCTGCATTTAACCCATCCAAAGTGCACACACACACACAGCAGTGAAAACACACACACCGTGAACACACACCCGGAGGAGTGGGCACTGCAGCCATTTATGCCCCCACCTACAATCCCTGCCAGTACGAGACTCGAACCCGCAACTTTTGGGTTGCAAGTCCAACTCTCTAACCATTAGGCCATGACTTCCCCCAAGTCGTGGCAGGTGTGTTTGACTAGGGATATAGCTAAATTCTGAAGAACAGTGGATCTCAAGGGCCAGAGTTCCCATTGCTGGACTATGCTGTAATATCTTATGTAAGTTGAACTGCAGTGTTTTTGGTAATATGTGTGCGTAGTAGAATTTAACAATGTAAGGAATCAGTGATCAATTTACAAATTTAAAAACAAAAATAATAAATAAAAATCAGTCTACAAATTAACAAACCATTTCAAATATTAAGTTTAAATTTGAATGAATTTTTAAATATTAAAAAAAAAAAAAAAAATGTATGCAACTGCAAAATTTATAATTCATAACATGGAATCAACAAATAAACAATGACTGAACTGAAACACACCCTTTTGATACACAATGTCTGCCAACAAAAGTAAATGTTGGTAGTAAATATGCTGTACAACAAGACATTATTTGAGGTTTAAAAAAACCTGTCAGCATTGGTAAATAATAATTAAAATGACTTTATAAAAATAATAAAAATTAAAGAGATGTATAACTGTGGTAGCTTTTTTGATCCGCCCCAAATGAGATCATTCAAGATTTTCTGCCAGTTAAATACCTCTGATTCCAAAATAAATAGATTTTTTTTAATGTATTTAGGACTATATTGTCTGATTAACGGCTTAATCATGTTTTTTAGTATCTTGTTGAACTCTACACCATTGAACTCAAAGTCATTTCAACTTAACCCTACTTCACTAAGCTCGTCACCTCTGTGTACTTACTGATGGTAGTAAACAAAGCTGACCTTAGAACAGAACTCGTAATGACTAACCTCCATATTCTCATGAGCTGGATGCTGCCACACATGCCCAGAAAGAAGTTCACAGCAAACAGAGCCCAGTTCTTAGGGATGATCACCAAGCAGTACCTTGACCAAATTAATCCTGGAAAGAAATCAGAGAGATTTGCAACTAACTAATGCTGTGTTGAAATAAAAACCTCATTGCAGTATCAACTATATTTGTGAGCAAAGCGGTTAAGGCCTTAGTTTGAGTAAGTTGGCACTTATATAGGTCAAAACTTAGGCCAAGATCATGTGTGAATTGCTGAATCTAGAATGAGAAATGTTTGAACAGTTATGCTAAGAACAGTTATGCTAAGAGAGACTACCAGTCTCAGAAATGCTCTCATTCAGAGTCAGATCGAGAGAGAATATTTTCTTTACTGTCACATAGGATACACTGCTCAGATATTTAGTTTCCTGGGTTCATTTCAGCTTCTATTTTCAGCCACACTAATCTCAGGTTACGATGAGGCTTCAGATGAGATATTCTCATCTACAGGACACTGACAACAGCTACTGATGTATATGAATCTTTATAAACTCCATCAAGCATCTCTCTGTCACACATTAAAACAAGTACCTGTGGCTGTAATGACACAGGACTGAGAAAGACTGAGCTTTTCTGGTGGCCGGGTCATATCAGAGAATCCAGCCACAACTAAACCCTGCAAGAGGAAAGAAAGAGCAAACAAGAGTGAGCTTGCTCGAAGGCCTTGATCAGCAGGTAAATCCATGATATGATTGCAATCACCGCAGCATTACATCATTTCAAACGGCAAAATATGTACTGCCAATTTGCAGAATGCTATGTTGGTTTTGCTTAAAGGGATAGTTCATCCAAAAATCATTACCACCACCATGCCTTTTCAAACCTGTATGAGTTTCTGTCTTCCACAGAACACAAAAGGAGAAGCTTAGCAGAATGTTTGAGTTGCACTCTTCCATATAATAAAATTATGTGGAGACCAGGGTCGGTCAAGCTCAAAGGAGGACAAAAAAGGCATCATAAAAGTAGTTAATTTGACTTCAACACCATATTCCAAATTTTCTGAAGCCATATGATTGTTTTTTTGTGAGAAATTTAAATTGCTAATCACTAAACGCCTTGAAAATCTAAGCTAGGTATGGTCAGTTACCTATGCAAGAACTATGCCAGGTATAGTCCTTGTATAGAAAAAGCAGCAACATTCTGCTACTTTTATTTTTCACACAAGAAAGAGTGGGTTTTTAAATGCATGGGGGCGAGTAAATGATGAGCTATTCCTAACTGTATCTAGTAATTTTCACTACATTCTCTATAATCAAGTCAAACACAAACATCCAAGGTCAAGACATTCTTCAATCTAGCCTTAGAACTGCTACCGTGTCAAAACAGAAGAGAGTCAAATTGACCATTTCACCATTTCAACTGTGTGAAAACAAACAAAACTCATCTTACCCATTTAAAAACAGGTGCCCAGAAGAAAACCGTCTTTGGCCCTGAGGAGAAAAAAAAGATTCTGAGAGAAATTATAGCAAGTGCTATAGTGTAAAGCACTTTTTTATTTTTATTTGATGCTCTGAATTCCACAGAAAATTAAGAATACACTAGTGGAAAAAAGCTTGGGTGCAGATACGATCCACCTTCAAGCGTCATGCAGTATATGATAAGAAATAATCTTTTAGTCAGAGCAGGAGGTGTTAGAGTCGGCTGAGCAATGTCCAACATGTTTGCACAGTAAATAAAAATTTAGCTTCAACAGCACATACTGTAGGCACCAATGTCTCCATCAGGTCTAGGCAGTGATGATGGAGACCTTTCAACAACCTATATACAGTACATCAGTGGGACTTCACATAAGACTAGCTCATTCAAACGGTCCAAAATATTTACTTAAACACTTAAAATGTTCTAATTGAATTGCATATATTGAAATATATGAAACCAACTATATCTGCAAACAAACAAAAAAAATGCTAGAGCTTTTCTCATAACTAACAGCACGGTCCCATGGTGATTTTAGTGGAGGTATGCATGTATGTGATGGATCTATGTTTTGTTTTGGGTTTTTTTGCATGAAAGATGTGTTTGTGCTTCCATTCTTTAAAATAAATAATGCATTTCATGTCTACTGCATTTAATTGTGCCTCAAGTGTCCAAATTATTTTTGGGGACCACAGTATGGCTGAGAAAAATAATATGGATCACATTGTGGAGATAATCTAGAAAAGAGAATTCAGATGCAACATATACTGTATGCAGGCCTAATTATATAAACGCTTCAAAATAGCATCCCTATTTTTAACTATTTAACAATGACCGACTGCTAGTGTATTTCTTCTTCTGACAGGAGCGGAGTAACTGAATGTCTTTACCAGCAGGATGATTGTAGAGAGGTCTTAATTTAGGAGGCAGCATTAACTCGATCCTGTCCAGGGTTCGGTGATATGTCGCTCTCAAACCACCGGAATAAAAACGACATGATTGCAGTCGTGAATATAGTCTGCCGCTGCTCATGTTCATTCACTGCAGTGACAAAAGCACGCGGTGGATAGGAAGTTCTTCGGCGCGCACCTTCTCTCTCTCCACCCTCCGAGACGACCTACCACAATGTCATCATCTCCGAAAACACGTCTTGGTTGCCAGCGAGCTTACGGAAACACAAACAATGAGATATACGTGAGACTGATCTTGAGAAGCGAATTAATTAATAAATGACCAATCTCTCAGCCTATATGTATTCTAAAATGGGCTCATTGGATCTCTTCAAGGAAAATGTGGTCATACGGTCTATTAATAGTTAACAGTCTGGTGTAATATTAAAGCGCCTGCACTGGTGCTCGTGATCATAAAGTAGGCTGTTAACGGCTTCCGTCCAGCAGATGTCACTATCGGCCCAATCGACGCCTGCAGACAATGCCGCTTTGGCTTGTGAAAACGAACTGGGTGAAGATAGAATACATTTGGAGAAACGGCTTTTCTTTTGTTAAAGTCTTTAAATAATTCATTAGGAAATGGCATGCAGTCTCTCTCTCTTTTTTAAATGAGCTATATTTAGCGATATTGTTACTACTTTAGTTGACCATGTTAGTTGTTTGCTAATACAATTTTGGCCCGTTTGAATCCAATTTTAAACATGATATTAATAAAATAAAATGACCACCGTACGTATTTGTTTCTTATTGTTTTCCGATTGTTTTCATAGATGCCGAAAGGTAATGACTGAAAAGTAGTTTGACCAATAGCGTGCAAGCATTGTACATAATCGACCAATCGTGGCGTGCGAGAGGGTGGGACCTACAGAGAACGGTCCAATCGCAGTGTTGCTTTTCAGACTACCCTAGCAACTTGCTTTCCAAAAAGCACCTAGCACCAAATGTAGCTATTTTTAAAATGTATTTGGCAAATTTGAGCAACGTTTGAAAAGTGACTCAAATTGATAAAAAGGCATGCATTTTTCCTCTTAACCACACACACACAAAAAATAATTATTTAACAGCTAGCCTAGCCAGCCAAGCAGCACATCAGCTGTGGAGAGAATTGGAGAGAGCTGCCCAGCAGTACACACATCATGTGAATCAAGTTGCTAGTTGCACTTGTTCAATAATAATTGTTCATTTATGATACACCCTAGTTGTTATTTTGTGCCTATAATTGTTAATCAGTTAGGTACACTGTTGATCTTATCTCAAAAATCAATCTATCTCATCTAAATGGAAGGTGTAATTTAAAATACAGGTAAAATGCTAGTGAAAATTTAATATTTCATATGTTAACTCATACACTGTGTAACTTTTAAATAATTCAATGTAATAAAAAATGTGTTTTCATTACTTTTACAAATAATAATGTTTTATTTCTTACGAACATATCTAAATGAACATATTACAAATTATATTCTTTGCTGAGATTTCAGTAATTTCAGTGTGTATTCTACGCAATGATACAGTTTTGTGTTATGGTTATATAATGACGTCATCATCCAGTCATGTCACAATGTCATTTAGCAACTTTTAGCAACAAATCGACCTGCCTTTAGCAACTTTACCTGAAAATTAGTTGGCAACACTGATGACGTTAGGCACTTTAGAAATCATAACCTTTGCTTAATTAGGCAATACACTACCTTGACAAACAGTCATTTTAGCAATCAGTGGCGCTCGCTGTGTGTTCACATGTCTGCTATATTTACACAAGATAAAGTGAAACTCATTTACTCTATAAGGTTACTAACCAAAACCATAATGTAACTGTATTTCATACCCAAATATAGCATGGGGGTGGGTCACATCTTTACCCAGCTTAGTGAATTACAGATCCCTAATTTTGTCCTGTGCTCACAGAGTATGGGTAAATGAAACTTTTTGCATATAAACAAATTACATTATAGAAACATATTGCATTATAAAAAAACAAACCGATAACCTTCTGTAACTGAAAAATGAACAATCCACACATTTATGAATTGCATGTGATATGTGGTTGGTTGTTGTTTGGGTGTAATACATTGGCATTTTCTGTCTCATTCCTTGAGAGAAGTTCCCTTTTGATACCAGTAAATAAACATGTCACTGCAGTAACAGTAACTTGTTATGTAATGATTTCTGTTTGGGGAAAACAAGCCACAGTTGAATGGTAATCATTCCTGAATCTTGATCGTAACATCTTAACTTTAACCCTCAAAGTGAATAAAAAATTAAGAATGAGGAAGAAATTGGTATCTGGGAAGTTTTACAAAAATTTAATAGAACAATTAGGATTCTCCAAAATTCAAAAATGAGCAGAACAAAAAAAAAAAAAAAAATTGAGAATATGGCAAGTTTAATCTACGGCACAAATAAATTTATAAATCATGTCTGATGTCATGAGATCAAAAACAAAGAATTTTATGACATAATATGCACAAACTAACAAAAACATCTTTCAGTGATAAGATCTTATATTTAATTAAAATATCTGAAAATTTCACATGTGCTTCACCATTCACCAAATACATACATACTTACATAAAACATTTTTAAATACTGCTAGATTGTAACACTTTCCATTGTACTTCTACTGGACACACTAAATTGGACACACTATTTTTTACAATCGTTAATACCTTTTCTTTTTTTTTTTGCACTAACAATTCTAAAAAATATTGTGTCCAATTTTGCATGCACAAAATTCAAAAGAAATCAAAATTTAAAAGAAATTTGTTTTCTATTAGTGTTGCAAGCCGGATGCAACAGCACTCTTTGTACTTGACAATCATTTGTAATAGACATTTTTGGAATATTTCGAAACCATTTTGATTTGTAGCAGACAAATACTGAAATTGTATATCAAAGATTGAGACACATAATACACAGTGTTACAGGTGTTTAACATTTAAACATTCCCAGGTTGTCCCTTAGAATGTTATAGTCTCAATGAATCAGTATTCATTATCAGTTTCATTACGGTTAAATCAATACGCATTATGAGCATCAAAAGTTTGAACAGAAAAATAAAGCTATATCCAAATCATTATTTTTTCAGAGCATGCCGATTTACTCATAAACAAGGCGACTTTTATTTTGACAGGCCTAAATCGAGAGTCTGATTTGCTTATCATGAGCTGGGGAAACACGGAATTCACAGTATGTAACTTATCTATTGTCATGTGTTCTTGTGAAACGCATGATGAATGCGTTTGTCTTCTGCATTATTCTGATCTTCTTCTAAGAAAACACAATGGCAGTACGGCGTCGGTCTTCCTGCTTGTATTTCACCGGATTATAGTGAAGCCTCAGGAAGCACGTCAGTCAAGACTTAAAAGGTTTCATTTACATTTTTAACAGATGACTCGGTCGCTTTTACGCAATAGTGACAGTGTACACTGTAATATGTTGCTTGTCTGATACAGAGGGTTGCCATCAAGCCATGACATGCTTGAATAAAAGCGGAAGTGTTTAGTAACAAAGTCACATGTAAGTGTTATTTTCTGTGGAAAGTCCGGGATAACCCTGTTAGAAATTCCTGATATTAAGTATTTACAAGATAGATAGATCGATAACAAACTATACACATGGTGTTACTAACGAGCAAAAGATAAAGAGTGCAACAACACATCAAATATATGAGTGTTGTGTGTCTTGGTGGAGGCACTGAACCAACTAACTATTCATTTATTATAAATGATATTATATATTTATAAATAACTATATTTATTGTGGAATTAAATACATTAAATATAGTTCTGAAAGCATGACTTACATTTTTTTTATTTTCACTAGTTCCAAACATCATGCGAGGTGCCGGTTTTCTGTGCAACAATAAGCCCAATATTGTTAAAGCCCTAATACTTTTTATGGCCACTGCAGCTTTGCTGTAAGGAACTAAATCTTTGAAGTCAAAAAGCCTAATGAATATATGTATGTACGTATGTATAAATAAATAAAGCAAGCAGGAATAGGTTAAAATAAACGGTATTCTTATTACAACGTGTCAAATTTCCCTTGCTCTTCTAGTGGAACTTCCCCCAGATAAGCTATATATATATATCTACTCCTAGATAGAAGCCAGACAATCATGCTTCGTCTTCTGATCATTTTAAGTTTCCTCAGAGGAGGTCGGTAATTGACTCCTTACTCATATGGCTAAAGCTGACACTGCTCTGGCTGGATGTTTCTAAACTGGGTGGATATGGCAGGAGGTTTATAACAACATTTTTTTCCCACAGCTTATCTTTCAGATATTGTAGCACAAGGAGACACAGCTGTTGAGTTCGGTCAAGATGCTTCTTTCTCTTGTGCGCTGTCAGATGCGTCTGGTGTCAAACAAGTCACCTGGCAGCGGGTGCGTGACACGGAACCGGTACAAACTCTGGCTACATACAGCGACCTCTTCAAGGTTCACATGGATGATCAGTATGTCGGAAAAGTCAATTTCACAGCATCGTCAGTTGATTCAACGTCCATTGAGATCAAAAACACGACATTTGAAGACGAGGCTTGCTACATTTGTTCCTTCAAAGTGTATCCACTCCAACCTAAACGACAAACCTTGTGCCTCACTGTTAAAGGTAGGTTAAATACTTGCTGCAACCATGAAAGTCACAAAGCTTTTCTTTTAGGTTTTGAGTCAAAAACACTAGGATCAGCTAACAAGGGCAGATTTGAACTAAAACACTGAACTGTGTTTTCAGGACTAGGGCATCTCAGTTTGAAATTTTATACAATCTGCTTTTGCCAAAACAGTGGTTTTATATATGTTATATTTTAAAACTATATTTTAAAATTGATTTATGAATTAGTGTTTCATTGATGTTTTGAAATGGCTGAAAAGCAATTAATGGCTTGTAATAGGATATTTAATGGCAGGTTCCTAGTGTAACAACTTACCCCATATAGTTTGACAATATTCCATACTATTGGGAACACTAGGTTGATGCGAGTTAAATGAACTATAGGGCAATAGCAGTGAAAATATTTAATAGCTGTTTTTAGTCAAGACTTTAAGTAAAAAAGTAAACCTACCCTGAGAAATATTATCTGGACTAAAAAGTGACAACTAGCTCCAGTCTCCCCTAATTCATCAGTAAAGTGTACAATATATGTTGTCCAAGTAAAAAATGAGTTAAATGAACTATAGGGCAATAGCAGTGAAAATATTTAATAGCTGTTTTTAGTCAAGACTTTAAAAAAGTAAACCTACCCTGAGAAATATTATCTGGACTAAAAAGTGACAACTAGCTCCAGTCTCCCCTAATTCATCAGTAAAGTGTACAATATATGTTGTCCAAGTAAAAAACAATCTCATCCAAGAGAATGCAGATATGCCCAAACTGGTAAGGGATGGTGTGAATCAGAAGATACTCCCACATCGCAATGCAGGACCAAACAATGTGTTCAAAATGCAACTGGAACTTTCACACAGTTTCATAAAAACGAAAGGAGTGCATGCAGCCAGTTATCCACTTTTTTTGTGTGTGGAATTAAAAGATTGTACACAATTATGACATAAGACCTTATGTTGCTGGTATTTTTGCAGGTATATCAGAAATAACAGCATCAGTGAATCCTGCACCTAGTTCTGATCCAGATGTTGTAGTCTCATGTTCAGCCACTGGTAAACCGGCTCCAACTATCCTCTGGAAATCTGCAGAGAAAGAGTTGAACAACTTTAGGTCAAGTAATTTCACAACTCTCAACAAAGACAGTTCAACCACCATTACGAGCAACCTCACGCTTCCACTGTCACAGTTTCATGGGAAGTATGTGGAATGTGTGGCTCAGAGTGACGGCATAGAGAAGAGCGTCCAAATCTTTGTGCCTGATGAAGAGAACAAAGGTAACTTGAGTTGATTTCTGAAACAAGTTTGAGTGGTAGTGACTTAGTGGATTTAAAACTACATAGGCTCGGTGGCATTATTGTTAATTTTTTAGCTTAATTCTGAAATTATGTATGCATATTTTTTAATAAATTATCAATATTTACACACAAACCAAAACCTTTTTTGTTTCACAGAGAATAAAGTCACAATAAGAAATTATATCATTCCGATGCTGGTCTTGATTATTATCAGTATTGTCATTATCGTCATATATCTTCACACCAAGTTAAATGGTAAGCAGAAAAATATTACACTCTAGCTATCAGCACCATATTTATTGTCATGTACAAAACAGCGTTATTTTGTATATTCATTATTTATTTTTATTTTTTTCAGATAAAGATGATCAAAAATCAGCTTGTTTGGCTTGAACTACTGTGCAACTGTTACTTTATTCAGAATTGATCAATCTCTCTGATGCTACTTTTGTCATCTGCTAAAAAAAAAAGTCATTTCATGTTTACATTTGTGAATAAGCTAATTTTTAGATAATAATATAAATAATATCTGGTTACCTGAGATAGTCTGCATTTCTCCACAGTTTCTACATCCTGCATCTGCACTTTAAGTTCTTTCAACCTGACATTCGGTATTATTTATTGTTGTGAGATTTGTCTATAGGATTTTAAATAATTCTGTTACAGCTGTCTGTCTTGGAGTAATATGCTCAATTTAATTTTAAGCAGTAAATCATTTTGTATTTATGTTCATGCTACCAATTCAGAAATTGTATATCAAATAGAATAGATTTTTTTGTGCGTGTGTATATATATATATATATACACACACACAACCTTTTGTAAATGTGGATTTCGTGTGGTTTTCAACAATTTCATATATATGTTGAATATGTTCTTATCTATACTAGGTATAGTCCATATAGGTGTCAATTTCTATTACTGAAACTCACTGAGCCAGACATGAAAATGTGCAAGCCACAAACTATTATAGCACTCAAACGTCTTTCCACTAATCTACAACAAACTGACATGCTGTTCAGCAAAGCTGCAGCTCACCCGTCCATAATGCTCAAAGTTCTCTAATAAAATATTCTTGTTGGATCCAGAAGTACATTCCTGAATCATCAATCAATCACTGATGACTAACCCACCACAAAAAGCAATAGAATAATTATTGCATCACTGTTAGAGAACACATTCCTTTTCAAATTCCTTTGTATCTATTGCATATTCACAACCCATTCTTCTATGCGTTGGATGTGCTCTAGCACTAAAAGTACACTATACAAATAAAAAGAAGTTCTCATGTGACAGTATGTTAGGTCATATCCAGTCACACTCATTCCAGTGAGTCACACTTAGGTATTGATTTAAACTCTACAAGGAAAGTACCTGAAGTAACCACTATCCCCCTGAAATGTAAAATGGAAAAAAAAATTACCAAATACATAGCTTATTTCTTAATCCATACCTAACTTTGTGTAACAAATAATACAATTTAAGTTGTCATTCACTAAAGGTCTTGCCTTATTCACATGAAAACCTTGCACATTAAAGGAATATTTCACCCAGAAATAAAACTTTGCTGAAAATGTACTCACCCTCAGGTTATCCAAGATGTAGATGAGTTTGTTTCTTCATCAGAACAGATTTGGATGAATTTAGCATTAGATCACTTGCTCACCAATAAATCCTCTGCAGTGAATGGGTGCCGTCAGAATGAGAGTCCAAACAGCTGATAAAAACATCACAATAATCCACAAGCATCCACATGACTCCAGTCCATCAATTAACATCTTGTGAAATGAAAAAGCTGCAGGTCTGTAAGAAACAGGTTCATCATTTAGACATTTTTAACTTCAAATCTTCACTTCCAGCTAAAATATGCGTACATAAACTTTACATAAAAGCTGCCTCATCTAAATTAGGAGAGAAATGTATACAGACCAAGCACTGTTTAAAAATGAAAACAGTTTTAAACAAATATGTCGGTGGATTTTAATGCAAGAGGACAACAGGGGATGCACTTTTCCACTGGATGAGGCATTATTATGGATAGCGGACCAAATGCGACAGTTTAAAGTTAAAACACCTTAATGACAGACCTGTTTCACACAGCTTTTTTGCTTCACAAGATGTTAATTGATGGAGTCATCTGCATTATTTGTGGATCATTGTGACATTTTTATCAGCTGATTGGACTCTCATTCTGATGGCACCCAGCAGTGGATCATTGGTGAGTAAGTGATATAATGCTCAATTTCTCCAAATCTGTTCCAATGAAATAATCCACTGATAAATACAACAAACAACCTACTTTTAAATAATTTTTTCTTATATATCTTTTTCTATTTTGCTTAACGATTAAATATTTGATTCATAATCAACAGCTAATTAATTAAAGTGGCGAGATTACTAGTATTTCAGACACATATTTTTGTATCATTTTCTATAGACACAATATTATCAAGAATCTCAGACTCCCCAAAATCATATCGTACAGTAGGGTGGAATGCTGAATCTGAATACCGTGACCTCTTGAACACACACGCTATTTACCAAAATGCATTAAATGAGTCACTCTGTTCCAATGAAATAACAAATTTTACATCTTGGATGGCCTGAGGGTGAGTAAATTTCCAGCAAATTTTTACTTACATTTTTGCTCTGACAACGCATACAAACTCATTTGTTTACTTTACTGGAAGTGCAGAACACCCAGCACTTCCTTCAGTGCTTGCATGTTTCACATGGCATTGGTCCACTGGATGCAAATTTAATAAACAAATCTGTCCATTAACAATTTGGCATGTTAAAGAGATAGTTCACCCAAAAATGAAAATTCTGTCATTAATTACACACCCTCATGTCGTTCTAAACCCGTAAGACCTCCGTTCATCTTCGGAACACAAATTAAGATATTTTTGATGAATTCTGAGAGCTCTCTGACCCTCCCATAGACAGCAATGTAATTACCACGATCAAGGTTTAGAAATGTAGAGAGTATCCACTGAACTTAAATGGCGAATGCTGTTCTGTGTCAGCTGCGCCACGCGGATACGTTTTCTATGTTTTACGCTTTCATTTGAACGAACATCAAGTAGGAGTTTACACAACAGAGATGGCAGAAATTCTGTTAGCTACCAGGTGGATGGAGAATTCTGTTAGCTACCAGGTGGATGGAGGATTCTCGACCAATGAATGTGGTGATGTGCTCAGATTCTTTCTCAGCATTATCAAGTCTAATTAGTGGGAGATCCTCAAGACAAGATATTCTATATGAAATTATTTAAAGTATGTACAGGGTAAATACATTAGGAAGCAAGCTATGTTTCCTGTGGGTTTCAGCACATTTGGGAGGATGGAAATGAGGAAGTGGATCATCTAGCAAAGGAGGCACTGAAATGATCTTATATAGAACTGAATATTCCACTTTGTAAAGAAGTTAAGGCTATAATTAGAACAGCTATAAAAGGCAAATGGCAAGTACAATGGAATGAGGAGGAAAAAGAAAGACATCTTAATCAGATTCAAAATAAAATTGGTGGTGAAAGAGGAAGTCGTGGCAGTAGAAGAGAAGACACAATCATTACCAGACTTCGCCTTGGGGCATTCAGCTCTTAATCATTCCCTGTATAGAATGAACAAACATGAGTCTGGGAATTGCAGTCCATGTGAATTAGCAAAAACTGTAGAGCAGGGGTGTCAAACTCAGGTCCTGGAGGGCCACAGCCCTGCACAGTTTAGATGCAACCCTAATTAAACACACTTGATCCAGCTAATCAAGACATTAAGACTAATTTGAAAACTATGTGGTATGCGTGTTGGAGCAGGGTTGGAACTAAACTATGTAGGGATGTGGCCCTCCAGGAACTGAGTTTGACACCCCTGCTGTAGAGCATGTATTAGTACAGGGGTGGCGAACGTCAGTCCTGGAGAGCCGCAACCCTGCAGAGTTTTGCTTCAACCCTAATCAAACACACCTGAACAAGCTAATCAAGGTCTGAAGGGTTACTAGAAAGCTACAGGCAGGTGAGTTTTAATTAGGGATGGAGCTGAACTCTGCAGGGCTGCGGCTCTCCAGGACCGGAGTTCGCCACCCCTGTATTAGTATATTGCACTGCTTATCAAAATGAAAGGATAATTATGGTGGAAGAGTTAAAAGTTTACAAATATTACACTTAAAAAAACTGCTGAATAATGGCTTGGAAAGTCATAGGGTATATAAAGTATTAATGAAATATTTAAGAAAGGTGCATCAGTTTCAGAGGATTTAGAAGCCAATTTATTATTAGTGGTCCTTTCCTTAATTGTTTCTTCTTTCTTTCTTCCTGTTCCATTAATGAACCACACTCCAGCTCAGTAGGTGGCGGGTCCGCGTGGCGCGGCTGACACAGAACAGCATACGCTGTTTACGTTCAGTGGATACTCTCCAAAATGGGGCTAGGGTGACGCAGAGGACATGAATTGTTGAATAAAGTCGTTATTTCTATTTTCTTTGCATACAAAAAGTATTCTCGTAGCTTCGTAAAATTACGGTTGAACACCTGATGTCACATGGATTATTTTACAGATCTCCTTGCTACGTTTCTGGACCTTCATCATGGTCATTACATTGCTGTCTATGGGAGGGTCAGAGAGCTCTCAGAATGCATGAAAAATATCTTAATTTGTGTTCCGAAGATGAATGGAGGTCTTACAGGTTTGGAACGACACGAGGGCGAGTAGCCTAATGACAGAATTTTCAGTTTTGGGTGAACTAACCCTTTAAGTACATATAAATGCTAATCAACTCCGTAAATTATAGACAGCACACAAAAGTAGTAGTTGTTTTGTTCAAGTTCATTAGCCTTCTAGTGTATTTTGATTAATCCACTGATAAATACAACAAACAACCTACTTTTAAATAATTTTTTCTTATATATCTTTTTCTATTTTGCTTAACGATTAAATATTTGATTCATAATCAACAGCTAATTAATTAAAGTGGCGAGATTACTAGTATTTCAGACACATATTTTTGTATCATTTTCTATAGACACAATATTATCAAGAATCTCAGACTCCCCAAAATCATATCGTACAGTAGGGTGGAATGCTGAATCTGAATACCGTGACCTCTTGAACACACACGCTATTTACCAAAATGCATTAAATGAGACAGCAAAAATAAAAACCATCTCAGCATTTATTTCAGTTTTTGGGAAATACTACTGGTTCCTGTTTAACATGATGATCCATTCCCAAAAGTGTCAAGTCATTTTAAATGCCATAATATAATACACAATCATTTGTTTATTTAAACAGGAAACTCCAATAATTACTTCATATGCCAAAGTTGGCAAATTATTAATTTCAATCTACATAAATTAATGAACTCTTATAGCCTACATAACTCTTATAGCCTACATATGTCTATATTGCATTCATATTTCAGAAATGTCGTATACCATGTCTTGAAGTCATTTAGTATGAGTTGAATGTTTAGTGTAGCCTATGTTTAGTTTACTACCAGGCACAAAAAAGGTCACTTCAACACGTGGTTGGATATAACGCGAAACCATACCGGGAAGCCCTAAAAATGCCCTCTAAACGAAAGTAACTCTCACAACCGGTAAATAGCCTGTGGGAAATTCATATTCATTTCACTATCAGTAGCCCATTTCTGCTTCACTATATAAGCGGTGTCTGATTACAAACAGATCATACCAACCATTCGACATGTTGCGTCTACTGATCTTCATTTTAAGCCTCATAAACAGAGGTTGGACATTATTTAATTTTTCACTCAATACATTGCATTTCTTTTCGAGACAAAACTGTATTAAGTTTGTAACCTAATAACTTTTCATTTCGCAGCTTTTTCAGATATTGTAGCACAAGGAGACACAGCTGTTGAGTTCGGTCAAGATGCTTCTTTCTCTTGTGCGCTGTCAGATGCGTCTGGTGTCAAACAAGTCACCTGGCAGCGGGTGCGTGACACGGAACCGGTACAAACTCTGGCTACATACAGCGACCTCTTCAAGGTTCACATGGATGATCAGTATGTCGGAAAAGTCAATTTCACAGCATCGTCAGTTGATTCAACGTCCATTGAGATCAAAAACACGACATTTGAAGACGAGGCTTGCTACATTTGTTCCTTCAAAGTGTATCCACTCCAACCTAAACGACAAACCTTGTGCCTCACTGTTAAAGGTAGGTTAAATACTTGCTGCAACCATGAAAGTCACAAAGCTTTTCTCTCAGATTTTGAGTCAAAAACACTAGGATCAGCTAACAATTCTAATCAAAACATTAAACTGTTTTCAAGACTAGGGCATGTCAGTTTGGGTCAGGCTGTCACTTAAAAATATTTTAATTCTATACAATTTCCTTTTGCCAAAACAGTGGTTTGATATTTATATACATTTTAAAATTGATTTGTGAGTTATTTTGCGTTTCGTAGTTGTTTTGTTAGATATAATAGGCTATTTAATGGCAGGTTCCCATTGTGACAACTTAAGCCCATGTAGTTTGACAATATTCCATACTATTGGGAACACTAGGTTGATGTGAGTTAAATGAGCTGCATCTTTTTCCAGAGCAATAACAGTGAAAATGTTCAATAGATGTTTTTAGTCAAGATTTTAAAGTTTTGTACTTTCAAAAGCAAACCTACTCTGAGAAATATTCACTGGACTAAAAAGTGACAACTAACTCCAGTCTCCCCTAATTTGTCAGTACATGTTGTCTAAGTAAAATACAAGCAATCTCATCCAAGAGAATGCAGAGATGCCCAAACTGGAAAGGGATGGTGTGAATCAGAAGATACTCCGAGATCTGACTAATGATGGCATCTCAGTGCAGGATCAAACAATGTGTTCAATATGCATCTGAAACTTTCTTTCAGTTTCCAGTTCCAGCAAAATGAAAAGAGTACATGCAGCCAATTATCCATCGTTTTTGTGTGTGGTATTAAAAAATTGTACATAATTAAGTCATGTTGCTTGTATTTTTGCAGGTATATCAGAAATAACAGCATCAGTGAATCCTGCACCTAGTTCTGATCCAGATGTTGTAGTCTCATGTTCAGCCACTGGTAAACCGGCTCCAACTATCCTCTGGAAATCTGCAGAGAAAGAGTTGAACAACTTTAGGTCAAGTAATTTCACAACTCTCAACAAAGACAGTTCAACCACCATTACGAGCAACCTCACGCTTCCACTGTCACAGTTTCATGGGAAGTATGTGGAATGTGTGGCTCAGAGTGACGGCATAGAGAAGAGCGTCCAAATCTTTGTGCCTGATGAAGATAATAAAGGTAAGATGTTCAACATGGATATCGGTTAGAATAGAATAGCTATTATACAGTAACTTTCTGCCTAATGCAGTCAGGTTGATTCAGTCATGCTACATATTTTTGATTTGAGTAAAACCAGTTAATTTAGATGTTACAACCTGAAGCACATTTTTAGATTGCTTGACAAAACTGCAAAACCAATTAAGATACATTCATTATGATGACATTTTGACTGCAATACTTTTTCTCATTATTGAATAAATTTTTTTTTGTCTTACAGTGAACAACGGTCCAAGAAGTTACATTGTTACAATTTCAGTCCTCATTATCATGACTGTTGTGGGTCTTGTCATTATTGCCATCTGTCTTCACACCAGACTAAAGAGTAAGCAGCAAAATCCATCTCTACGACTAGATGAAATAGGCTAATACAACCGCAACATACTGTCATCTTTTAATAATATATCTCAAAAGCAAACTAATTTAATACATAATTAAATTTTGCTTATCTTTTTTTCCCCCAAGGAACTATTATTGGTATAAAATCTACTTCTGAGGAACCCCTTAATGCCCCAAACGAGGAATGTTAACTTTGCTGCTACCTCATAGTATGGATTTTTGCTCATGATCTTTGTTAATATGAACTTTTGGGTTCTAAACTGTGTATTAATATTCCTTTAAGGAATCATGAATTTCTTGTCTAGTATTAATTTAATTTATTTATTTGTTTATACCATAGACAGTTGATATTTATTCTGTAACTTTTAGATTTTTAGGCTCATATATTTGCACTTTATGACACATATGAATGTACTGGCATGCACTAAATAGTTTTTAATTGTCTACTTGTGGAGTTTAGTCTGTGACAGTAATTTATACATTCATAAAATGCAGGCTCTCTACTAGTCTTGATATTTACCCACAATCCTTGATGTCACACATCATAGAGGAACAGTAATGTGTTGAGCAATGACAGAGATTTAGGGAAGAAAAAACATTATTGCCCAATACAAACAGATAAGCTAAAGACTGAAAAACCTAGTTTTCAGCAGTGTGAAACAAAATGAAAGTTATGGCATTAATGGACACAGAAGCTGCTTTGTGGTTTCCTGCATGAAACTGTAAAGGCTGCATAGAGAGACAACTGCTATTGTTAGTGCTTGTTGACTGCAACAAGCTAAATAGAAGTGTATCTTGCTGGCAAAAAGTACTGTAAAGTAAATCAAACATATTTGTGTTTCTGAAAATATTTCTGTATGATATATACCTACCTATGTGTCTAACCAGTAATATGTGATTGCACTGAAATAAAAATAAAAATGAACTGTTGGATTCACTGACTGAATTACTTACTAACATTTCTATATTCTGTACTTCTACCAAATGTTTAAACCGAAAAAGGGGGAAAATGGAACAAACAGAACATTTATGCAGGGTATGCACTGTAAATGATATCAACAAATTAATGTGACACACATGACATGATTAAAAATATATGACACTGCAGATTTTGAAAGGAATAGAGGAAGCTATTCAAATTGTGACCAGAAAGGGAGGCTCTGTCTGGTCCAGCTGAAAATTAATCAAGTTGAGACATGATTCCTGTTAAACTGTAATTTGTAAATTCTTATGCTGCATTTAACCACCACTAAAGAAAATTTAGAGATTTTGTTCCCTCAAATGACCAACTCAAAGCTTTTAAATAGCACTTGGCTACATCTTTTTTTCAGCAGGCATGTGATCTGTGATCGTGTGTCTAAAATGATGCATCAGTGCTGCATCTGTAAAGTTCAAAGGAAGTCATCTTGATGTGGTAAAGCACCATACAAACTTCAGGTAGCCATATTCAAGTTAGCCGTTTCCTCTGACTGACTGCGCACAGAAACATGCAGATCTTTCACCTGACAACTGCGTTTCTTATAATGGTTGTTCTCTGCAGTCAGCCAACTTCTCTATCAGCAGGTAAGTCTCATCCACTTCTTAACTAAGAATATTTATATATTTTAAAATGTTACCGACAGCAGACATGATAGCATTCAGGCTAGTAGGCTACTTACTGTATTTGGCTTTTTTTTGCATATATTATTAGGCTAAATAGGATACATCTGTATTCAATACTTTCAAAGCATTTTGTCATTTCGATGTTGAGGTCATTTTTTATATTTTCAGTACTTTTTATGGACTAATACAAAATATTTCCCTTGTGCAGTGACTGTGATTTACTCGCGTGAACCGGTAACGAAGACTGAAGGTCTTTCATTGTCTCTCAAGTGCACAGTGCAGTATAAGATACATGATTGCGACATTCAGACCAATTGGTGGCATTGGAACATCGATGAGCCTTTGCAAATCACGGATCCCAACAAATATCTGATCACAGTAAATGAAACGGAAATAGATGAGCACAGGCTAAGGAACATTTTCCTGAAATTCCGTTCCTTGAAACTTCAAGACGGTGGCCGCTACCAATGTGATGCCAAATGTCTCAACAGTGGGACTGCAGCAAAAGGCCATCTCTTGGTTCTCAACGTCACAGGTTTGAGCTGAAAAAACATTTGGATTCTTAGTTTTTGTTTATTACAATGCTCTTGTATGTGACACCTGTTAATGTGATCTTTTTTCTACAGCTGATCCATACAAAGATCTGAAGCTCTCAACATGGAGTGGCCAGTTAAAGGCAGACGCAGCTGCGCTAGCATTCAGCGCCACATTATTGTTATTATGGTGCTATTAAATGACATTGTGTTTTCAGTATGGAGCAACACAAGGTATCGACATATGAAATTCACTGTTGTTAATCTGCTAATGTGACCAACTGTAATTTTCTTTTATTCTAGACTTGGTCTTGAATTAAGTTCTTACAATGTGACAGCATATATGTACCTAAAAAGTTGTTATAGAGTTGGTTACCTGATGATTCTTTGTTTCTTAATCGTTGCCATAAATTGCAATTGAGTTTTATTAGACTTTTACTTTACTTTGTGAAAGGGATAATGCATTGCACAGCCTGTGTGTTAAATGACCTGTTGTGCTACATTCATTTTAACTGCAATGGAACATTTCATGCAGTGGTCTTGACTTGTGGCTGAAACTGAAACCAAGCTCCTCTTGCCAAACGGAAGATGAAGGTGTAAAAAGGCTTTTACTGGCCAAATGTGATGAACAAGACATGCAGTTACTAATGCAAAAACAAACTCATGAGAAGGCACAAGCAGTGTAATGCTTTTTTTTTTTTTTTTTTTGCATTTGATAGTAGACATGTGATACAATTCTCTTTGTAACAGTCAATAATTATTACTACCAGGGCCTTAGCTGGGGTTTGCGGGGCCCTGGTGCAGGTTTTATCCCGTGGGCCTTGTTTGAAATTGTGTAAATAGCACAAGTAAATAAATAGAACAAAGATACAAATTAAACAATGTTTAAACAAAAAGTTAATAATCAAATGTAAAATAGCATTACATAGTCTTCACTGTATAAATTCAATTTAGATTAATTCTTGTTAAAACTACAAAGTAATACAGTAAAAAACTGTGAGTGATTTTCTCCCATTTAATTTCTTGGATTAACATTAAAGGGGTCATGTGATGCGATTTCAAGTTTTCCTTTCTCTTTGGAGTGTTACAAGTTGATTGTGCATAGATAAGATCCCTGAAGTTGCAAAGACTAAAGTCTCAAAACCAAAGAGATATTCTTTATCAAAGTTAAGACTCTGCCACGCCCCCCTAAAACAGCTCATTCTAACACGCCCCCACATATCTACCTCACTATGTGGAAATATTTGCATAATGCCGCCCAAATGTTCACGCAAAGAAAGAAGGCGTGGTTTCAGTAACCGCAGTTAGTGTTGATGCAGCATGTCAGGGAGACGCTGTGTGTTTCTAGGCGAAAGCAAAAGCACTTTATTTCAGCTGTCTTAACCGTGGCTTGTGTATTGCAGACACATACCAGCTTCATCACTGTGTCTGTCACGCGACTCTGTTCCTCTTTCGGGCTTGAACTGATGGTAAAACTAATGACATTATTTACTGTCTTTACATTTATTTTGAAAGATGAAGCTCGCGATTATGGTAAGGGCCGTTACATTTCTGACGAGTGCTTGCGGTATTTGGCCAATCACAATGCACTGGGTCAGCTGGCCAATCAGAGCAGACTGCGCTTGTCGGAAGGAGGGACTTTGTAGAAAGCAAAGCGTTTGAGAGAGGCGGGGCATAGAGGACCTACAATAATGTACAGTATTTGAAAAATAATGTGTTTTTGAACATTAAAGCATGTCAACATATTCTGTTACACCAAATACACAAAATAATGATCTTTTAAAAAGCATCATATGCCAGCAGCTAAATTAGGCGTGGTCACTTTAAGAGACAATGCATCCAATATAATGATAACATTCTGATTTCTTTCTCAACTGTTTACTTTCACTGAAGACATTACCGACCTTTTTTTTTCGAAGATACTCGCAAAGACTTGTATTGTGACATAATTTTGTATGCATTTGTTTGTTGGTTCAAGAGCAAGAATATGCAAAACTCCATTCTGTGCGCACAGAACACTGCTGAATGAAGTTTTGGTATCTTTTTGCGTTTGAATATTTAAACTGTGGAGGTGTATTTGTTCCGAAGATACTCGCAAAGACTTGTATTGTGACATAATTTTGTATGCATTTGTTTGTTGGTTCAAGAGCAAGAATATGCAAAACTCCATTCTGTGCGCACAGAACACTGCTGAATGAAGTTTTGGCATCTTTTTGCGTTTGAATATTTAAACTGTGGAGGTGTATTTGTTCGTTCAGGCGCGGAGGAAGCGAAGGAGAGCTCGGTTCGGTGTTTGCGCGCTTGAATGTTTAGATTGGCAAGGCTCAAAAAACACATGCAATTGATAAGCTTTCGTGATGACGCGCAGCAGTGGCCCTTCAACTGTCCTGAGCGTCTTTTAGGCTGACCAGTTAAAACATACAACATAAAACAAAATCTATTTAGACATGAAAAAGCATGCAGATTTAGATGGAAACCAAGGGATTTGGAGAAATTGGATTGATCTGAAAGAGAGAAATACTGCCATCTACTGGATATCAGATGTCCACAATAATTCACATGAAATCCACACAACTCCAGTCCATCAATTAACATTTTGTAAAGCGAAAAGCTGCATGTTTGTAGGAAACAAATCTATCATTAAGACGTTTTATGTTCAAACCGTTGCTGATTGCTTTCAACAGATTTTCATTGTTGGGTGAAGTGTTCTTTTAATCCGGTAAGTTATTTTACCACATACTGTTGTTTCCAGCCAAAATACAAGTCCATAATAATGCTTCCTCCAGTGGAAAAGGATATCCCCTGTTGTCCTCTCAACATATTTGTTTAGAACTGTTTTCATTTGTAAACGGTGCTTCATCTGTGCATATTTCTCTCCTGATTCAGACAAGAAAACTTTTCTCTTGAGAAAGCAATATTACGGATAGAGGACTCTTATTTTAGCCAGAAACATTGATTTAAAGTTAAAATATCTGAAGGATTGATTTGTTTATCGCAAAGATGCAGCTTTTAGCTTCACAAGACATGAATTAATTGACTAGAGTCATCTGAACTCTCATTCAAGCAA